TCCAACGACGCCGACGACAACCGAAATTCGACACTGGAGGCCGAATTTCGGTCGCGACCAATTCGTCCAGAGCGTTACCCGACGTCTTCGGCAACGGATGATCTGGGCAGGGAGCGCTCGGAGCGCAGCGGAGCGGAGCGCCGAATACGTCCAGAGGGAAAACCCCTATAGGAGCGCGGCGGTAGGCCAGTCGCCCCCAGATGGCGATGAGGATGTTGCGCAACGAGACTGATCAGAAAGCATGGGCGTGAGTGACGAAATCGAAAATGGCTTGACCATCGGGGGGGCGAAAGAGCATCGATGTCACGCCGCCGCGGGGGCCTCCAAAGCCCCCTCGGCGTGTTACTCCCCCGCTCTTCGGCCGGAGAACACAGCGCACGTCCGCAGCAACACGCCGCTATAGGGGCCCTGGGCGCCCCCGGGGCGGCGTGGCATCGATTCTCTTAGGACCCCCCCCGAACCAGAGGGCGCTGGGGGGCAGGAGCAAGGAAAGGCTTATGTTGCTCCCATCGTACGTAAGGGCCACATCCCAGAACGCATCTCGAGCACCCAGAAAAACCGCCGAAACAGCGTCGAGCGCGAGCATTGCCCCCCAGGGCCCGACGCGAGAAGACCCTCCAGCTTCGGTACCTCCCGGGTGCTGGAACTTCTTGCAGGTGATCGAGGCTAAAGTACAGGGCTTCTGCTAATACGTAGGATTTTTTGTTTTGCTTTTTCATACAAAAATGTGTTTTAATATATGATTAAGTTATGAATGAATTTATGCATGAAATCATCGTTGTTTTTAATATTAAATCCCTGCATCTGTCATACATGATCCGCACGCGGAGCATGTCTTAAAAACGGCACTGCAGGTTGGAACACCACAGAGAAAGGCACCACCGCCACCACCACCGCCGGCGCGAGACACCTGGGAGGGTCCGCCCTGGCGGTGTGGCCACCCGCCCGATCGGCAGGCTCGTGCCGCGGCGGCCCCGGCGCGTCGGCGTCTGGCACCGTGCGTGGATCTCTCGACGGGGATCGACCGGGCGGCCTCTTTCGCCGGCGGCGACGACAGGGGCGAATAGCCCAGGGGCTTGGGCGTGGCTTTACGGGGGGGTCACAAACGGGGGGGTCAGAAACGGTCCCCTTTCGTGCCCCTTTCGGGCCCCTCCAGAGCCCCAGGGGGCTCGTTCAGGTACCGTTTGGGTACCTTTTCGGACCACCCTCGCCGCCCCCCCATTTATGATCCCCCCATTACGCGACGCCCAAGGATCGACCGGCGGCCTTCTCGCCGGCGGCGGCGACAGGGGCGAATAGCCCAGGGGCGGGCATTACACGCATTCGCCGGGGAGCCTCTTCGAAGACACAGATCATCGGCGCACCTGGGTGCATGTGTTGCTATCCCCTGGGCCATTCGGCCCTGTCGTCGCCTCTGATTTCGATCGCCCGATCGTTTCATACCGGCGTCTTCGAACAGAACACGTCCCATACAGTCAACGCAGAGGCAGCGACACAACCACCCGCGCCCCCGATTGCAGAGTTCGGATTCGCGCGCTGGCCGCAGATCGCCAACAACATGTTTTTTTGTGTCGAGGCGACTTGCACTCCCAAGGGTCGACCCCCGCTTTGACCTCACTTCGAGATGAGCCGTCTTTTTCCCTGAACAGCGCTGGCACTTAAGGGCCCTCGCTTGTTAGAAGAACTGGGCCTGTCTGTCGGTCTGGCGGCTATGTTACAGCCGTCGCCACCTCGTCACCGCCTCGTCGCCGCCCGTCGTCTGGGCCTGGCTGTCGGTCTGGCGGCTATGTTGCCGCCGTCGCCGCCCCGTCGCCGCCTCGTCGCCGCCAGTCGTCTGGGCCTGCCTGACAGTCGCCGCGATTCTTGCCACCTTCGCCGACTCGTCGCCGCCTGGTCGCCGCCCGTCGTCTGGGCCTGACTGACGGTCGCCGTACTTGTTGACGCCGTCGCCACCTCACATGGATTGCACAACACAGATTGCAGAGCATAGATTGCACACCACCGAGCTCACCATAATGTGTATATATAAATATGTATACATGTGTACATGCATATACATATATATATATATATACTGCACCACACAGATTGCGCACCACATGGATCGCACAACATAGATTGCATCGCGTCAGTTGCACCACATAGAATGCACCACTTGTATTGCACGGCGTAGTTTGCAGTGTAGCTTTCACAACACAGTTTGCACCCCGTTAGTTGCACCGCATAGAATGCACGACGCACGACACATATACAACATGCAGTGTACCTCATAAGTGTGAGCACGCATATAGAACAACATACATTGCACAACCTAGATTGCACTACGTAGACTGCTCCACATCTAGTGCAAAACATGTACTGTACCAGGTATGATGCACTGCGTGGGTTGCACATCGTATATTACGCACTATCGATTGCACAGTATGTGCTGCGCCACATTGGTTATTCCACACCGGCTCTCATTGCTTAAACAAGAAACAATAACAATTCAAGCCCCTTTCCGAGGCCGGAGTTAACGGTCCCCCTCGCGAGATGTAATTGCATGTGATTACGATCCCTTGTCCATCTTACATGTAAATTCATACCATTCAAACCCAGCTGGTATCGACAACCCCCGCCACCCATTGCAAAGCGTACTATGCGCGCGCTCCCATGTATCAAAACAGTGAAGTTTTCAATCGCCTCTTGCAACAAACGGGACGAAACGCACACACGCGCGGGGTCGCGCGCGCATGCTGAAATCCTTCAGAAACTAAAAGGTTTCGTAGGGGGTTCAAAATCGAATGTCACGAAGACAAATTCAACACATGGTTTTGCAACCAAGACTGTCGTTGACCAACAAATGGAACAATTAAAAAACTTGGCCCCGCGACCTCGCGAATTCTTGGGCCCAGAAGGGTTGTTCAACCGTATCATACACATGCTGCCAAATTGGCTTCTCGCGCGTGGGTGTCGGAATCGTTCGAAGGCCCTTGCGCGCGGGCTGTCGCAAGAATTCCTCGCAAAATATCAGAACGAAGTGCACACGCGCCCGTCGTCGCGCGCGCATGTCGAAATCATTGACCCACCCTCGGTTTCTTAAGGATATCCAAATCGAGGGTTCCGAAAACAATTTTTTATATGCATATATAACGGTGTTCCAACAGTAACTTTCAAAGAATTCTGCGTTGGCGCCCTTGCGGGTTCTTCACAAAACCATCGGTCCTCCAACAGTTGCATCAAATTCTGCCAAATGGGCCTCTCGCGCCGCATGCCGACCTCATTCGAACGCCCTTGCGCGCGTGATTGGGGGGGCACGATCCGTTTCAAATCGTACCAGGCAGGCCAATCGCGCGCGTCGGCCGCGCGCGCATGTCGAACTCTGTCAAAGACCTTCACCGCGGACGCGAAGACATCGTCATCGTTCCCGGCGGGCGTGATCAGCATCGGCGCCGTCATTGGCCGTGCCGTCGTCATCGCCACCGTCGTCACCGTCGCCACTCTCATAATCGTGTCTACCGTTGTCGGCGTCGCCATGATACCGCGCCCGCAAAGCCACCGACTCGCAGTGGATGGCCCGCTGGGTAATACCCAGCGGTCTGCGCCACCGCGGCCGCGTCGGCCGCGCCAACCTAGCTGGCCACTGTGCGCGCGAGCATGCGCGTGTTGGCGAAGCCGCATCTATGCACAAGCCAACGCCAAGCACTCATCGCAATCGCTCCTGCATGGCTTTTGCAAGCCAAAAGGCGGGTGGGTGGGTGCGGTGATTGCGCGAGCAGTGGAGTCGACAACTTCAAGTTCGGCAAGGTGAATTACACCGCGTGTGTCGCACAAGATAAGGAATGCACAGCGCAGGTTGCACATCTGCGATTGCGCAACAAAGATTGCATTACACAGGTTGCACCGCATTGAATGTTCCAAATAGTTTGAACAACGAGCAGTGCACCTCATTGGTCGGAATACGTAGTTATACCGTACAACATGGCTTGCACCACATGACTTGCACACCATAGACTGCAACATGCAGGTTGTTCCACATAGTTCGAGGGAAAAAAACACACAAAGCTGGGGCCCACGCTGGATAACTGTTTGTTTCCACTGGACCACTGGCGGCGCTCAACCTTGAACGCTCAGGCAGTAGATCAATGAGGACACGCAACATAATCACGACCTCCACATGGGCGCCGCAAATCTGTACACTAAGGTATCTGAGCCCTGTCCCACGGGGGATTCGCAGACAAGCCACAGGACAATGCATAGTGTACAAGATTATGGCCCGTTCTCCGGGCGACAGGTGCTTGAATCATGCACATATATACAGATGCGCATACACACATATACATACATATATCTATATATACATATCTACATATACAAATATACATACATGCATGCATACACATATTTATATATAAACATACGCACATTCATACATTCATTCGTACATACATACATACATGTATGCATACATATTTACATACATACATACATGCACACGCACGTGCATACATACATACACACCTACATCCATACATACATACATACATACATACACACACATACATACATACATACATACATACATACATACATACATACATACATACATACATACATACATACATACATACATACATACATGCATACACACACACGTATACATACATACATACATACATACATACATACATACATGCATGCATGCATACATACATACACATACATATATACATACATACATACATACATACATACATACATACATACATATATACATACATACATACATACATACATACATACATACATACATACATACATACATACATACATACATACATACGCACGGTGTTTGGCCCGCCATTTGACACCAAGGGGACAACACATGCAACAAAGCATAAGGGAACACATCCCTGGCCCCGATCCACACGCCCGAGCGACGCCCAGCCTGCAGAGGCACTGCGCAAAGGGACAGCGAACTCGGGCGCAAAACACCCCCCTCGGATCCTGCTCTCGACCGGCGGCCTCCTCTCGAAGCGCGCCGAGCTGCTCCCTGAGGCCGCTCGCGTCGGCCGCGGCCCTGCTCTCCGCCTCGACGGCGCCCGCGAGCTCCAGCCGGGAGCTCTCGAGGTCCTGCCCCCGCCTTTGCCCAAGACGAAGCAGGGACGAGGACAAAGTCGGGTGAGGATGAATCGAGAACCCCTGAGATCCGGCGGCTCTGGAGGATGTCTCGGGCGCCGCGGCCGTTTCAGTACCCCGGCCCTGGCCGGCCCAACCTGGGCCCAGGTCTGGTGCACACGCTACCCTGGCTTGACCAGGGAGGCATGCAGTCGAGAACTTTTGCTGAGCGTGTCGCGGCCGAAACGAAACACCCTCGACACGCTATGCCCTGCGAGCGGATAGCGTGTCGCTCCGCTCCGCGGGGCGGGCGGCTCAGCAATGCTCGGGGGACGTGGACGCCTGGGAAATGCGAGGTGGATAGTGCGTCGCGCCGAGGCGCGATGGGCCAGAACCGGCGGATCGACACGCTAAGTCAAAGTTCCTGACCGTATACACCGATCCTGATCCTGGGCCGAGCATGGGCCTGGCCAGGACAGGCGCGTGCATAGTTCTCGTCCCCCCCGCTCCCTCCACAGGAGCGACACTTGGCAATCTTGGGCGCGTTGCGCTGCCAACCTGGACGGCGCAAACCTCTGGCGGCCGGGCAGCCTGTTCAGACGGTCTACGCGGGTTCCTTGCCCTCCCCCATCATTCTCGGGTGTTGCTAGAAGTGTCCCTGGCCCAAGGCGCCCCAAGGATTCCCAAGGAGGCCGCCACGGCCTCCCGAGCACCCCAAACGAGGCCCAGAGGGCCGCAGGGGCTCCAAGATTGGGCGACAAGCAGGGGGCACCTCGGGCCAGGGGCACCTCCAGCAGATCCCGACGCTTGCCCTCCCCCTCCCCCGCGTCTGCCTCCCTGGCCCGCTCTCCACCCCCTGCAGGCCCCGGGCTGGCAGAGCCGCTCCAGAGGGAGCCCGGGCCCTTGCTCTCGAAGAGCCACGGCCCCCCCGGCATGTCCGAGAGCTGCCGCGTGAGCGCAGGCTGGCCAAGGCGGCGCCGATGATCCCAGCAGCACTTTGGGCGAGAGGTAGTCTAAAGAGAGTCTCTTTCCTCTTCCACGACCCGTCTTCCCTTCGGGGAGGGGAACCCTCCCCCTCCCCTCCCTGAGGTTTTTTTTGGGGGGGAGGGGGGCCGATGTGTCAGAGGGTCATTTTTCCGGCCCCTGGGAGGGCCAATTCTTGACTCCCCTCACGAGGATCGTTGCCCCCGAGGGGGAGAGGGAAATCGAGGACCCCCCTCTTTTGACCGACCGCCTCCGAGATGGCCCCAAGAGGCGCTCCAGGGCTCCCAAGAAGCCCCCAAAAGGGCTCCCAGAGCGCCACAAGAGGTCCGAAGAGGGCTCCAAGAGGCACCCAAGAGGCACCCGAGCGGCCTCAGAGAGCCCAGGATCACGCCAAGATGGCTAAGATAGCCCAAGCTGGCTCAAGATGGCTCCCAAGATGCTCCAGGCGGCCCCAAGACCGCTCCAAGACTGCTCGAGATGGCCACGGAGCCTTTTAAACCTCCCTCGCTGTTTGACTATGCGTGCCTGTTCCTCTCTCCCCCCGTCAACTCTCATGGGTACCGCTTCTGGATGGGCTAGTGGGGATATTTTTTTTGGTACGCGGGCGCACGAAGACGAGTCGAACGCCGAGCAAGCTTGGGCGGGCCGCGCCGAAGTAAAGGACAAACCAGCGAAGCGAACAGCGCCCGTCACAGAGCGGCACTGGGCACGACGCAGCCAAAATGGCGCGGGAGTCGTCTCAAATCGGCTGGTGGGGATATTTTTGTTGGTCGCGGCCGCGAGCGAAGAGCACACGCGGCGAAAACATATGTCCGGGGCAGAGAACAAGGCTGATTAGCCACAAGACGCGCCGCAAGCCGGCCGGCCCACTCACCAAGCAGCCGCGGGGCTGAGCGGGAAGCTGACGGCTGGGGGCATCCTGGGAAGCTCGGGCACGTGCAGTCTGACAAAATGCCGAGACATTCGGTGCATGCCGTGAGGCATATGCCACACAGACGACATGACGTGCACAGGTGCCGACGTGTCCTTCATACTGGGTGGGAGCAGGCGCGAAAACCGAACTTGTTTTTTCTTTTTTTTACAGCCGCAGGCGGAAGCGCCAGCGGCGGGAGGTCGCGGGCGGGCAACGGCCGCGACAAAATTGCCGAGCGCGCGCGGGGGCCGCGGTTCAGGCGGCGGGGGGGGGCAGCGCCCAGGACGGCAGAGCCAGCGTGCAATCCAGGGAGTCTGCGGAACAGGCCCTGAACGAGACATGCAACGGTGCATCCAGGGAGTCTGAAGACAGGCACCGAGGAGACCAAGCGCAGCCAAAATGGCGCGTGAGGCGTTCCCAGCAGTACAGATGCGAACAGGAACTTGTGGGGATACGCGAAGCGTCAAGAATTGAAAGGTGTCCATCGAGAGAGTTGACGCACTCCGGTCCAGAAACCTCGCGTCGGCCACAGCGCGTGAGCAGTGGGTGAGAATGTGCACGGAAGCAGATGCCTTCAGAAGCCGCCTATGCCTGGACCGCCTGCTCCCACCTGCGAGCTGCACCGCCCTCTCGGCGGAAGTAGTCAGCACGTCGCTCAGAGGAGCCGGCAACATTCTCGCAGTGGGAGCCAGCAAGTCGCTCATGGGACATCGGACAGCGCAAGAGGGTCCATGAACAAAAAACACGTGCAAGACAAAACGCCCGCTGAAAAACTGACGCTATCGCCGCCCCGAGATCATGCAGCCGGGACGAGCGATTCTTCGAATGTGATGAAGGGGCCCTGGGACACACAAATAAACACACACAAATACAAGGATTGCCGATATGTTCTAATGGTTTCTTGGTTTTTGTCTTCCTCCCACCTTGCCAAATCTTCCCATATTTCCGGGGGAATCGGCGATTAATTGTGTCTGTGTGTTTTTTCTCCTCCTGATGTGAGCAGGTGCGCAGAACTGCAGTGGCACGCACAGCAGAGGCGCGCTACCCGACCACGCGTCAACGTCGCCCCCCCCCCCCCTCTACTCCACCCTCGTCTCCCCAACAAAATCGGGTTTTTTGGGTGCTGCTTCCGATGGGCCTGTTTTCCACCACCACCACCACCATAAGTTGGAGGGGGAGAGGGTCCTCCTCCTCATCCTCCTCTTCCTCCTCTTCCTCCTCTTCGTCCGCCTCCTCCTCCTCCTCCTCCTCCTCCTCCTTCCCCCCTCCAACTTATGGTGGTGGTGGTGGCCAACAGGCCCATCAGCTTCCAGCCAAGAGCCTGGCTGCCTTCGCTCGGGAACCCGTTCTCGTGTGCGCGTGCTCTCCCGACTGGGCTGCCAGAGGCTGCAGCACTCTGCGCAGCTCTGCCGCGCGGCCTGCACGGGTCCAAGCCGAGCGGTCAGATCCATGCGGACACGCAGAGCAGAACCACGACCTCCGCATGGGAACCGCGCATCTGTGCACTAAGGAAAGGTATCCGGGCCCTGTCCCAGTGGTGCTTCGCACCCAAGCCACAGGCCGCCATTTGGCACCAAGGGGGCAACACATGTAACACAGTTTAGGGGAACACATCCATACAGACTTACAAACATACATACATACATACATACATACATACATACATACATACATACATACAAACATACATACATACAGACAGACAGACAGACAGACGGACGGGCAGGCAGGCAGGCAGGCAGGCAGACAGACAGACAGACAGACAGACAGACATACACACACGTACGTACGTACGTACATAATACATGCGCATACACCTACATACATACATACGCACGGTGTTTGGCCCGCCATTTGACACCAAGGGGACAACACATGCAACAAAGCATAAGGGAACACATCCCTGGCCCCGATCCACACGCCCGAGCGACGCCCAGCCTGCAGAGGCACTGCGCAAAGGGACAGCGAACTCGGGCGCAAAACACCCCCCTCGGATCCTGCTCTCGACCGGCGGCCTCCTCTCGAAGCGCGCCGAACTGCTCCCTGAGGCCGCTCGCGTCGGCCGCGGCCCTGCTCTCCGCCTCGACGGCGCCCGCGAGCTCCAGCCGGGAGCTCTCGAGGTCCTGCCCCCGCCTTTGCCCAAGACGAAGCAGGGACGAGGACAAAGTCGGGTGAGGATGAATCGAGAACCCCTGAGATCCGGCGGCTCTGGAGGATGTCTCGGGCGCCGCGGCCGTTTCAGGGCTTTCTGGGACGCTCTGAGAGCGCTCTGGCACGCTCGGAGAGCGTTCGGAAACGCTCTGGGACGGACTTGTCCTCGTCCTGGCCCCGTCCGACTGCCGTCATGCCTCACCGTGCCTCGCCCCAGGACCACCTGCCCGACAAAGGGGGAGGGGAGCCATCACGGGGACACTCCCCCGCTCTCCCTCCCAGGCCCTCGGAGTCGGCACGCGCACGGGGAGACTGCGGTCGACATGCAGCTCGAGCAACACCTGCCGCCAACTCTGATCACCAGGGGGTGGGCATTGACAGGTGGATGCGGCTCGAGTGTTCGCTGATGTCTTCCGAGGCCTGGATCACCATCGCCCATCGCGCCCTCATACCACAGCTGCCCGCGGCCCCATTCTGTGCTCAACCTCTGCCGCCGCTGCTGTCGCCGCTGCTGCCGAGCGCCGCATCTCAACGCAGGATGCCAGTTTGCAAACATCGGTGGCTCGGCTGACGTGCTGGCATGAACCTGCCATCTGGAACGGGGCTTATCAGGACCACCGATGTCACAAGCCCCTGGTGGGGGCTTGCGCAAGGGGGTCGGAAGCCAGAGGCCTCCAGTGCGAATGCCGACCATCGCCCTAGACAAGATGAGGGAAAACAACTAAAATGTAGCCGCGTCTCTATCAGGGGTGTACGGCCCGACGCTGTGCCCGAACATCTGCCTGAACGTGACCGAAACTGACGCCCGAATTGGTCCGAACGCGCCCAGGTGCGACGAATTGATTGGTTCGAAACCAATACGATGTGCCATTTCGGTTGCAAGTTCGGCCACACTGCGTCGTCGGTGACAATTTCGATCACAATGTCGGTCACGCTTGTGTTTTCGGTCGCGTACCTTTTTGGCTGATGAGGGCCGGGCGCCATGAGAAACATGTTCCGTGTCAACGAACACTACCCCAAGGAGTCTCACTTACTCCATGGGCCGTCCATGGGTTGATGGGAGTACGTGCGCGCTTGCGTGTCAGGATTGACGTCCGCGAGCGCACCCACAAGCGCAACCGTGCACGAGCAGACGCACAACCCGCAATTCTGCAGCTATGTCTGTTTATGCGCACCTGCTCGAATGCACAGAAATGCACGGACTACGGACTGGTGCGTCTGACGGCACTGCCGCGACCTAGGCCTTCACATTTCCATCGTGCCATGGCGCAAGCACCTCCCTTAAAGACAGCAGGTCGACACATGAGAGGTGAAAGAGTAAACAAACGCGTTAACATATACAGGGGAGACACGCATGACACACTGTGACTCGAAGATGGTGCATGGGGGCCTACTACACTTGCAGTCTGCATGCCACCTTTACCAAAGCGGCCCGATGTTCATACCTCTCTCGAGGCGCAGGTGGAGCAGCAGCACAAGCAGTAGCATGAGAAACTGGGGATCCCAACCCCCTCCTCTTCTCGGCTGGAGACTTCATGTCGGAGAGCGTCGCGTTGCGCCTGCATGCGATCTGGCCGAAATGGTAGGCAAGCGCTGACATGAGAACCCTTGCGATAGGGTGATCCCGACATGATGGAACAGCTGCCTCCTCATCCATCCTGCGAGCCCTCCTCGAGATCGCCCTGCAACGATGTGGAGAACCAGCTGGGGACTGTTAGGAGGCAACTAACGGGAGGTCTTACTCAGAAAGGTTACGGAGGATTCAGCCCCATTGGGGGGCTCTTACGCCGGAGCGGGCCTCGGATTGAGCGGGATTAAGCCGGATTAAGCGGGATAAGCCGGATTAAGCGGGATTAAACGAGATCAAGCCGGATTAAGCAGGATGAAGCCGGATTTCGGACCAGGGCAAAATCAGATGTTGACCTCCCAGGAGTTGCATCCGAAGGACTGCCTGGAGAGTCGAGAGCGGAAAGTCGGCAAGAACGCAGCACGCGGAGGGAAACGGACGGGACAGCGACCGTCCTGGCTACACACAACCCACGGCGCAGAACTGCGACGGTGAGCTCGGGGGCGGACGCTCGGCACCCGCTCACGCAGCCCCACTCGATCGTGACACTGCCGCGCTCCTCGTTCGTGATGGGCCTGTTTTCCACCACCACTACCACCACCACAAGTTGGAGGGGGAGGGGGTCCTCCTCCCCCCCTCCTCCCCTCCTCCTCCTCCTCCTCCTCCTCCTCCTCCTCCTCCTCCTCCTCCACCTCCTCCTCCACCTCCTTCCCCCCTCCAACTTATGGTGGTGGTGGTGGTGGAAAACAGGCCCATCAGTTCGACGCTCGCGGGGCAGGGTGCGGAGCCAATGCGGGGCCACGCGGCAGGGCGGGCCCTCCGCATCGGCCCTCGGGCCTGGCCCAGGCGCGCTGGAGCAGCAGTGGGCCGCGAGGGGCCATGGCGAAGCGTGGGTCGGTGGAGGGGGAGGGAGGAGGGACACGACGAGCCGAGGAAGCAGGTCACGGTGTGAACGACTGTTGCCCGTCCAGGGCGTCACGGCGCCACACGGCGAATGGACGCGGGCGCGCCCACCGTGCCTTCCACATTCCCAGGCTGAGCGGCTCTCGGAGCTCCCGCCTTGGAGTCAGCCGACTTGGCCCTCACCTCCCATGCCAGAGCGGGGGCGGGGGGAAACGGTGGGAGTCTGAAGGTGGAGAGACGGGGGAGGGGAACGAGGGCTCCAAGGCACCAAAATTGATTGACTCGTGGTACTCCACCCTGCGGCCACATGGGGCCACGGAGCCGACCGACTCGACCCCAAGTACCGCCACGATGCTCCTACTCCTCCTCCTCCCCTTCCTCCTCCCCCTCCTCCTCCTCCTCCTCCTACTGCCCCTCCCCCTCCTCCTCCTCCTTCACGCCCTACCAATACCATTCTTCTCCTCCAAGAAACAGCTTCGCCATCGCCAGCGCTTAGACCGCCCTCCAAATCGGAGGGCAAGATGAGGGACAAAGAGTGAACGAGGAGGAGGAGGAGGAGGAGGAGGAGGAGGAGGAGGAGGAGGAGGAGGAGGAGGAGGAGGAGGAGGAGGAGAGAAGAGTAGTAGGAAGGAGAGGGGGATAAGGAGTGGAATGGGCAGCGGATCTTGCGAAAGCAGCGGTCCTGCATGCCTGGAAAGTTGGGACAAGCGTTTGGCGTCCTGTGGCGCCCTTTCCGGTCGCAGCCGTAGGGGCCGTCGAGTTCGTGCAATACAAGAGCGACAGCAAACAACATAATAACATCGGACAGCCCCCACAAGACGAACACGCACCCCCCCCACCTGGGGCGACGCCGGCCTCCCGAGGACAGGTCTCGAGCACAACCCTTGGCCCCCTGGTGCGCTAAAACTCATGCGCTGTTATGTGCGCGTCCCCCCCCCCCCCCCCGAGGAGCGTCGGCACCGCAAGGAGGATGGGCTCAGTGTCTGTGCTGCTCTTGCGAGGCCAGGCACCGGAGCCGGCCCCGCCTTCAGATCGCCGCCGGCCGCGGCAGCGCTGCTCTCCGACTCGGCGGCGCCCGCGAGCTCCAGGCGCAACGAGTCGCACTGCGACCTTGCCGAGGGTCCCGGGAGCGGGCGCGACATCGCGCGGAAGCGCAGGCCGCGCTCCGCGGCTGTGCGTGAAGGCGGTCGGGGTGCCCCTCGAAGAACTGCCTTTCGTTGAGAAGACCCGCGATTACGAAAGCTGCCGCCCTCCCAGCTGATGGGGAGGGGTCTCCGCCATGCTCGTACAGGCCGCAGCGAAGAAGGAAGAGGATAGAAGGTGGAGGGGGAGGATGGCCCTCGGAGAACTTTACGCCACTCTTCCACCTCATCTGCCTCCCGGAGGCGCTGGTGCTGCGGGTTGTCGTCTGCCGAGCCGCTCCACGAGGTCCTCCTCCTCCTCAACCTCCTTCTCCTGCTCCTCCTCCTCCTCCTCCTCCTCCTCCTGCACCTCCTCCACCTCCTCCTCCCTCTCCTACCCACCCATCCTGCTCACCTCCTTTCCCCTCCACTCCCTCCAATCCAACTCCCCCTCCCCAAACCCTCCCGACTAACATGGTCCTCCCCCTCGCCCCCTGTCTTGCCCCCGTCCCCCTCCTCTCCCCCCCCAGGACGGCGGAATCATTGAAATACCATGTGTTTAGTAGGCTCCAATGACTCGATCGCTTCCAAGCTTCTGGCTCAAGATGGTTGCAACAAGGCCTCGAAGAGGCCGTCCCAAACCCCAAGATGGCCCCGAGACGGCCTCTGCAGCGCCTGAACACACGGCCCCAGACGGCCCTAAGACCCCCCGAAGACGATCAATACGAGCCCCAGACAACCCAAGAGAACCCACAAGCCCCCAATACCGCTCAAAAATGCCCCCCGAGACTCTCAAGACGGTCCAAAAGGACCCGAGAGAGCCACCAAGACGGCCCAGCAATGAGGTCGCCAAGAAGACGGCCAAGGAGGCCGAGGAGACCTCGTGATAGACGCACAAGGCCGCAAAAGGCACCAAGATGTTTCAGTTTGTCCTTTTTCCGGCCTCAGCAGGTGGCGGTGAATGGTTGGAGGCGTCTTCGAGAATGTCCCGAACGATGCACTACAGTGGAGGCCAGTCCACAAGAAACCTTCCACAAGAAATCCAACCCTGAGACCCCAAGACGTCCATCGATTTTTGGTGTGGGAGCGTCGCGCTGTCCACAGCAAAACCATCGAGACACAAGAAATCCAGGGCACCCTGGAGGCAAGCAGGGTGTTTCTTGGGAGGGGCCTCCACTGTATCCGCATTGCTCATCCGACTATGACTTAGTTGGTGTACGGACCAGTTCCTGCTGTCTCCAGGTGAACTTTAGAACGCAAGCGACTCGTAAAAGACGAATCCTGCCGAGCCCCTGCTGTCACCGCCGGAAGACACGCACTGGGTTAGACTTGCCGTCTGCTGTTCAACTTGCCCCAATGCAGCAGCGGTCGCGCAGGCACTGCGCCCTTCCAAACCAATGCTTGAACACATTGCATAGCCATCTGCGTCCGTCGTCGCCCTCATCGTGTTCACGCTATCCCAATGGAACCCCTGCGAGATCTGTGGCCACTTTGTTGACGTACTACCGCATGCGCTTCATGATGACTTTCATGTGAACCAGTGTCGTGTCGCATCTCGTGTAGACGTCTGTTTCTCAACCGCAATGTTCCCATACTGTACGGCTACATATCAACCGCTGAATCGCGGAGAATCATCATGTATTCGGAGCTTGCAAGTTCGATTACACCACGACTTCGACTCACCGCGAGTTCTCATGGTAATGGAATTCTGGTCTGGAGCAATCGGATGAAGACACGGCGCAACTAATCGAAGGGTGCACGATAATGTGTCAACACATCGATGTCATGTTTCATTGCTCAGGCAGGATATCGATATCTGGGACATCCTTGTCATGAGTAGTTACCTACAGACATGCTGGGTGTGTCCATTCGAAAAACATGTGCCAATAAGGATTGTACTCGGCGACGCCCTGACGTGAAGACTACCCCAGCATCCGTAGGGCTACGCCTGCGACAATGTAGTCTCGACAAATCACTTAAGAACACACGAATTGTTGCATCTCTCCACTCCAACGATGCAACGAGACGTTTTAGATCCAACGTGCAATGCCAAGTGTTACGAGATTCATTTGCGAAATGAGGCCGTCTTGCTCTGAAAGTATTGCGCGCCAAAGCGTCCAATTTCCGTAGCAGCCCGGACCAGCGGGACCCTTGATATTTCTGCAGACAGATGGACCCAATGTCCAATGCAGTTTCTCCTCGCCTGCCTCTTTCTTTGATCTGAAGCGCCGGAGGGGGAGGACGAGGAGGACAGCAAGGATGGGTAGTCCATTCCTCCTCTGCCTTCCCTCTCGCCTGGATTGCGTGGAGCGAAGGAGAAACAAACCATACATGTTCCTGGTAGGCCGGAGCGCTCTGCACCAACAGTGTTGCAACGTTGTGCTCAGCCACGGCTGAGGGCAGCCAGCTCCCCTGTTGTCTCGCCCCTCGTGTTAGGTCGGGCATGTCTCCGTACAGGGAGATTTTGGAGGAAACATGAACAATACCCCCCAAATACTAAAACAAAAACTCTAAATCGTCCCCAAGCTATTTTTTACTTTTTGGGAATCTTCCTCCTGTAGAGAGACATGCCCGACTCAACCCTCGTGCTGCCCGTTCCTGCACCTTTCCTTCCCGCCGCCCTGCATCACTGCCAGCACCCTCCGTTTCCAACCTGACCCTCCGCCCCGCTGGCCTCAGGTCGCAGGCGTCCGCGGCGACCTCGTGAAGCGGGGCGAGTTACGAAAGCTCCCGCCAGGGAGGGGCGGCACACAGAGCAACAACGCCGACTGGAGAGGAGAGCGAGTGCACACATTCGCAGAGGCACACGCGCAGGTCCGATGGAGGGCAGGGCGGTCCAAGCGAATTGACGTCTCCGACATCCGACACCAGGGACGCACCGTGCCCCCCCATGCACGACTGGGGGCCCCATGGACTGACGCCAGATCGCACGGATGCGCAGTCTTGAGGAGAGGGCGCCAGCGTACCTCCACAACCAACTCCGACCCAGATGGCCGAAGACGCCACCTGCCGCCAACCCGATGGCTTCCTCCCTCCCGCGCGGCACAGCCCCCGGGGCCGCCACCCCGCACCACTCCAGGCCGCCCTTCCCTCCCCTCCCGCCCACCCCTCCCTCCCCTCGGCGGGGGAAGAGCAGGGGCCCCCGCGGCCGCCTGCACTCAGGTCGGGCATGCCCCCCTACAGGCGGATTCTGGACGAAAAGTGAAACATACCCCAACATATAACCAAACATATCCAAAGATGGTCGAACACAAATCGTCCCCGTACTATTTTTGGACTATGTTTGAACATTCCCCCTGCAGATGGACACGCCCGACTTGGAAAAGCCGGCGCTCCTCCGGCAGAGCCCGTGTCTGCCACGCCGATCTCCCGCCCTTCCTGGCACGACCAACTGCGAACTCTGGCCCCGACGAGACACGAAGTTCCCTTCCCTTCCCTGAGCATGTTCTTACAGTCGGACTTGATTGGAGGGCACACGCGAGAGGACCAAAGACCCTTTCCGAGGGGCACACTGCCATAGGAATGTAGGAGGCATGGGTCGCGAGACACAGGACACAAGGGCACCCTTGAGCTGGCAGGGTCGACCTACCAGGGCCGAATGTAGGGTGGAAGGCTCAAGGTGAAATCGAGATGGGCTCTTGCACCTTGAGAATCAATCAGCTTGTGATTCACTTGTTGGAGATTCAACCTCGAAAATCAATCGAAACGGCATTTCAGATTTCACCCAGTGCCCTCCACCCGAAGAAAATGCTCGTTCGTTTCGTTTGCAATGCTTCAGGGGAGCGTCTGGAGCCAGAGATGCATCAAGGAAAAGTTAGCCAGTACGATGGGCATGGGAATCAGCAGCGAATTCCGGGCGCGCCAGATCTCAGCCGCAACCAGACGGGGTCGGAGTTCGGTAACGCATCGACGGCGCGCAGGGGTCCAAGCGAGAGGTCCAACGACGTGCACGGCTCGCTCGCTACCGGAATCCGCGACCTGTGCTCGTGCAGAGCGCTGCCCCCTTCTTTCGGTCGACCTGGAGCGCCGATCCGTCGCCGCCGATCGCGGCCGAACAAATCTGGCATCGAGTAATCGTTTAACCGATCCCCATCCCCAGCGGCGTGGCCTGGGCCCCACTGGCCGATTTACCCCCCTAGATGGAGATATAGGTCGCTCCCTTCAGGGTTCGAGGGGTGTATCCCCAGCTGGGGTGGTAATTTGGTGGGGGGGTCGAAGGGGATGGGGATGGGGATGGGGATCGGTGAAACGATACTGAGGTATCCATGGATCTGGACTGCCCCGAGTTCCGACGCCGCGGAAAAGTTGCAGCATCGTGGCAGGCCCTCGGGCCCCATCTCCCTGCACCAGTCTGCGACCCGGATCGCGCCGCGAGGGCCCCCCAAACATTAGCGAAAACGCCCAGCTCGAAAGAATAGCAGAGGATGCCAGGATCTCGGGGTGGGCTCCGTTCGGCTGCGATGGATGCGTTTCCGAAAACAAGGGACGTCAGGGGAAGGGCCTTCTGAGACCGCGGCGCTGCACTCAAGACCTCCACTTGGCGGCGAGCGAGGGGGAAGTGAGAACGAGAAGGCCTTCTCCGAAGGCTCGGCAGCCCCCCAGCCTTCTCAGAAGTTGTCTGAGCCTTCCCCGACGACACAAAGCACCTCTCAGAAGGCGCGAGGGCTTCTGAGAAGTCGCGCCGCCTTCTGAGAAGGCCTCCTCATTCTCGTTTCCCCCCCTCGCTCGCCGCCGACGTTCCACCTCCTCCCCCTTCTCCTCCTCCACCTTCTTCCTGCTCTCCTCCCCCTCCTCCTCCTGCTCACCCTTGTTCCCATTCGGCTGAGTCCTGCTCTTCCGCCCCCTCCGCGCGGTGCCTCCATGGCGCGCGAAGCCCACGGGCTCGAGATACCGACATCGCCCGTCTTCAAAGCGAGAGGCAGCGACCAGGGGGGGGGGAGGAGGAAGAGAGGAGGAGGGAAAGGAGGAGGAGGAGGAGGAGGAGGAGCAGGAAGAGGACGAGGAGGAGGAGGACGAGGAGGAGGAGGAGGAGGAGGAGGACGACGAGGAGGAGGAGGAGGAGGAGGAGGGGGAGGAGGAGGAGGAGGAGGAGGAGAGGGAGGAGGAGGAGGAGGAGGAGGAGGAGGAGGAGGACGAGGAAGGAGGAGGAGGAGGAGGACGAGGAGGAGGAGGACGAGGACGAGGAGGAGAAGGAGGAGGAGGAGGAGGAGGAAGAGGACGAGGAAGGAGGAGGAGGAGAAGGAGGAGGAGGAGGACGGCGACGACGACGGGAAATTTGGGCACAGGGGGGGACCGCGCCCTCCTGGGCGGCTTGGGGCCGGCGGGCCCCCCTCGGCGATCGATGGGGGCGAGCTGGGGGCCGAGGCGTCCCCCCCAGGAGCACACACATGATGGATAGGGCTGCGGATGCCACGACAACGGACACCCTAACAGTCCTATCATTGAATGAAAAGTGTGCTTGAAATGTCGGAAAAATCCAAACATGTGTTAAACTTGTGCTTGCACGTTTAAACATGCTTAAGACATGCTTTAGGCATCTGGAAAGTATTTATTAACATGCCTCCTCTCCATTGACCGTCCTCCACAAGGATAGGCTCAGGTGAGGCACGTCCCCCTACAGGGGGATCTTGGACGAGAAAAAAAAGACCCCCAAAAATATCCCCGAATGGTCCGACACAGTCAAGAAAAATCGCCCCCAGACGACGTATTTGTGCGACTATTTTTGAACACTCCTCCTGTAGAAGGACAGGCACGACTGAAAAGGATAGGGGAGGGGCGGGACCCTGCTTTCCGACTCGGCGGCGCCGGCGAGCTCCTCCCGCAGGCCCCCGAGCTCGCCGCCGAGCGCCTCGGCGGACGCCCGCCTCGGCGCGCGTGGGCCGGCGCCGCGCTGGCGACGCGTGCGACAGGCGGCGAGTACGGGATCGACTGGAGAATCGGTTTACTGAAGGGGCCCTGGGACACAAAATAAATACACACAAATAAAAAAAACATAGTTTCCAATATTTTCTGGGTTTCTGTCTTCCCCCCCCACTTCCCATATTTTCCCATATTTTCTGGGGAATCGAGGTTTTTTCCTCTCCTGATTTACCCCCACATTAGTGTCCCGTCGAATCCACGGAACATGCCTACAATGCTCCGCAGATCTGCCGACTCGTCTACACCTCTTTCTCCTGGGCTCGACGATAAAAACAGCTCCATGGCAAGTCAATCCTGCAGTCGATCCCCTGCTCGAAGGCGGCGCCAGACCCTGATCGTTGGATACCCGACCTTTTCGGTCGCGATCGGCAGCGACCGATCGGCACCCCAAATCGGTCGCGGTCGCGGTCGCGGCCGGTTCCAAAAAATCGGTCGCGGTCGCGGCCGGTTCCAACAAATCGCTCGCGACCGATCGCGACCGATCGCGACCGATCGATCGCGACCAAGTTTGAGGCAAAATCGGTAGCGACCGATCTTGTCGGTCGCGACTGGAAACCTCCAATATCCAATGATCACGGGGGGTGGGGGGGCGGAGGATGGGGAGTTTGAGATCCTGACGTCTCAATCCCAGACATCCAACGTATTGCCAATGTCAAGTCGCTGTTTTTTCCCCGTGTTCGGCCTCTGGGGGCCCTCAGCTGGGCCCCAAGACAGCCAACAACAACGCTCAAGATGAGAAACTGGCCCTGGGGCCCTCACGGATCGATGCAGCTCGGAAGATGGCGGGGAGACGGGGTCGGGGGCTCTGGCCGCGATTTTTCGCGTCGTCGGATCTGCGCCGTCGGATCTCGGGGGAGGGGCAAGGGGGGGCAAAAGCGGGGGGGGAGGGGGGAGGCGAATGGGGGGGGAGAGAGGGGGGTGGGTGGGGGGGGGGGGGGGCAAGGGAGGAGAGGGAGGGATGGGAGCCCAGCTGCCCCCAGGCGCAACACGCAGCACGCAACGCGTTGCCGCGCAGCGCAGCACGCAGACGGAAAAAAAACCGTAGCTCTGGCGCGATGCGTTCGCCAAGCCGTGTGGGCCACCGCGGGCCGAGCCCACACGCGGCGTGCCATCTAACACGGACGCTCCGAGGCCGGCAAACACGGGTTGCGTTTCAGAACGACGGGCGTGCCGGGGCAGCTGAGGACGAGAGGGATGGAGGAGGAGGAGGAGGAGGAGGAGGAGGAGGAGGAGGAGGAGGAGGAGGAGGAGTAGGAGGAGGAGGAGCGGGGGGCGGGGGCTATGATTGCTCCCGCCGTACGTAAGGACCACAGAAGTAGTTTCGAACGCCCGGAAGAGTGTCGAAACGGTGTCGGACGAGCGTCTCCCAGGGCCCGATCAGTGAACACCACTGAGCTTCGGGTTAATGTTCTGGGGGCTCGAGATTCTTTCTCGTGGTCAAGGCTGAAAGTAGGTTTGAACAACATAAGGTGGGGGGGAGAGGAGGAGGAGGAGGAGGAGGAGGAGGAGGAGGAGGAGGAGGAGGAGGAGGAGGAGGAGGAGGAGAAGGAAGAGGACGAGGACGAGGACGAGGAGGAGGAGGAGGAGGAGGAGGAGGAGGAGGAGGAGGAGGAGGAGGAGGCGGGGGGGGGAGGGGACCTCGGGGCACACGCTTCTGGCCAGGCGGCGAGCGAGCGGGCTCGCCCGCGCCGCGCCGCCCCGCGCCGCCCCGCGCACACGCGCGCGCGGCGGCGGCGACCAGCCCGCCGCGCGATCGGCGGCCCTGGCCGGGATGGGGAAGGGCCGACGCTCCCAATGTTAAGTCGAGCGTGTCCCCCTGCAGGGGGATTTTCGAGGGAAAAAGAATCGCAAAAAATACTCCCAAATGTTAGAAAAAGAGAGACAAATCGAGGGAAAAAGAAACGCAACAAATAATCCCAAATGTTAGAAAAATGGAAAAATAGTCCCCTGACGACATAAAAAAAAAAACTATTTTTGAACATTCCTCCTGTAGAGGGACGGGCCCGACTTAATCCCAGTGGTGGCCGCTTCCTGGCGGGGCCCTGTGAGCTCCGCGAGATCCTCCTGCTCGCCGCCTGCGAGCTCAGAGACCTCCCCGGACCTGCTCGCGGCATGCAAATTCACGACCGGTGTCTTTTCGGGCAGCTTTGCAGCCTCCAGGGGGGCCCTCGCAAGCAACTCGGGATTGAAAGCTGGCCCTTCGGCTATGGGACAAACCTCCCTTTAGCAAACCTCCCTTGAATGAAAACGGCCTGGGACCGAAACCGACGGACCTGGACCCCCAAAAATGACGGCCGCGACGCCGCGACGCCCTCCTGCGAACCGAAAACGGCCGATTCACTAATCGACGTGGCAGGGTAGGAGGTCTGTCCATCCCCGAGCCCTTTGGGGGGGGGGGGGGGGACTTCTGGGGGCCCCGCATGGGCAACACCAGGGCGTCGCACGCCTGGGATCGGAGGCGACACCGGCTGCCCACCTCAGCCAGCGCCGGCCTCCCTCGTTGCCTTGGCCCTCGTCTGCGTCGCACGGGTCAGCCAGGTGACCGCGGACGTCTCGGTCGCAGTCGACGACTGTTGCGAGCGCCGTCGAGGTGGTGCTCTGCGCCATCGTCGGCTCGGCCCACAAGGCGTCGGTCCACAGACTTCGATTGCCACCACGCGCGTAAACCCGTCGTGGCCGTACGCATCGGGAGTCCGCAAGACTTGCACGAGTCCGCACTCCTCCGTCCACTGCAACTTCATGCCGACGATTTTAGATGAAGAGGACATGCCGGGGGATGATGCGCTATCGCCAGCCGCGTCGCTTGCCTCTCGGCGAGGACCCACGCAGGGGCTTCTTCAGCTTGCGCTGTTGTTTCCGCATCGTCTTTGCCGCCCTCTCGAGGCTGAACTCTTGGGGGTCATTGACGCGGGCACCCGCCGCATCATCACTGCGGTCGCCTCCGTGATTGGCCGTGCGGGTTCGCGACCACGTCGCTGCTGCTCCACTCTGCGACGCTGGCCCCCTGGGGGGGTGCGCGCGCGGGCTCACGCCACCCAGCCTGTCATGTGTTTGCTCGTCCCTGCCGACGGACACAGCTGCGAGGCTGACCTTCTGGGGGTTGGCAGCACGGGCCCCCGCCGCGCCAGGCCCCCCATCGACTCAGCTTGCTTCGTTCCATTGCCACGGGACCTCTCGAGCATGTCGCTTGCGCTCTGCTCCGTGAGGCCGACCTTGTGGGGTTGTTGACGCGGGCCCCAAGCGCCGCGGCCTGCTCTCCTTCGTTGTGGGAGTCCTACATCGCGCTGCTGGCGCCGTCTTCCGCGAGGCTGGCATCCTGTCGTCTGTCGACGCGGGCCCCAGCCGCATCAGAGTGCCCCCCTCCGTCCTGGCCGAACCAGTTCGCATGCGCGTCGCTGGCGCCCTCATTCGCCTCGCGGTCATTGCCGAGGCTGCTCTTAAGCTTTTGACGCCCCCAGCTGGTCGCCCGCGGGCTCCGGCACAGGGGATGGGCGGCAGGCCGCCGAGCTCCACGACGTCCCCGTTCACCCCGCTGGCCGCCTGCTCGTCCGACGACGGTGGCGTGCGCCTCGGCCCACGACGACTGCGACTCCGACGGGAGGACAGCTCCACCCCCGAAGAGGAGCTCGAGGTCCACCGCCCCTCGCCAGCGAGGAGCTGCAGGTGGAGGTGCTTTCCGCGCCGGGCACGCGAAAGCTGCCCTGCGAGGCCGGAGGTGCGCCCGCGGAAAAGGTGCAGACCACTGGCGACGTGCCGAACGCCACATGCGAGGAGACGCAAAGCGAGGACGAGGGCGGCGACGTCCACTTCGAGCTGGCCGGCCCGGGGGCCGCTTCTCCGTGGAAGAGGCGGCGCCTAAAGGACTCCCGAGAGGCTCTGGCTCGAATCACGGGGGTTTTCGCTGGAGCTCAAGCCCCTGAGCCTGGGGGAAGAGGGGAACGAGGCCGGGGCGCCGCGGCGCGGGGGCGAGAGCAACGAAGTCGCGCGCGCGGGCCACCTGCCCCCCCCCTAATCACGCTTCTCCATGACATCCGTAGTCCCTGCCCAACAACTGCGCTGGAACATGGCGGGCAGCTGTAGCCTTGCCCGTGACCTCGGCACGCGAGCGCAGCGACCGTGAAAAATTCGCCAAACAAGCAATCGCGCAGAGTCCCGAGTTCGTCGCCCGTCTCCTGGCTCGGTGCACCTTTTCTCGTTCGGAAAGCGCGGCTTGGGACGTTGTAGCCCGGTTCTCGTTGGAGCCCTTGGCGACTAGGGAGGAGGGAGAATGGAGGAGCAAACGAATAAACAATTTAACGGATGAGTGAGCGAATGGATGGATGAACGAATGTGTGGACGGTTTCAAACGCCCGCGTCGGCTGCTGACAGCAGCGGCAAGGAGGAGGAAGAAAACGAGGAGGAGGAAGAGGAGGAGGAAGAGGAGGAGGAAGAGGACGAGGAGGAAGAGGACGAGGAAGAGGAGGAGGAGGAGGAGGAGGAGGAGGAGGAGGAGGAGGAGGAGAACGACGCAGCAGGCGGCAGCGGCGAAAAGGAGGCGGAGGAGGGGGAGAGGAAAACAGGAGAGGAAGGATGAGGACGAAGAGGGCCGAGAGTGGAGAAGGGGGGGCGGATGCGGAAGCGGAGGAAGGACGATGACAGCAAAACGAGCAGGAAGATCAGCAACAAAAGAGAGGTTCTGGGGTCTTGTCCCGGGGGGGGGGGCCTGCAGGACAGTCGGGAGGGGGGTGCAGCCGCGGTGGCGCGGCATAGAGAGAGAGAGAGAGAGAGAGAGAGAGAAAGAAACAGAGAGAGAGAGAAGCGATGAGTGCTGTCGGGCGGAGCTAGGCTAGCAGGAGAAACGGTGGGTGGCAACATGCCGTCCCCCAGCTTCTCGGGACGTGTGTAATGTGCACTTTGGATTATGAAGAACACGGGGGCGTGCCGCTGCTCGGGCAAATCGGGGGGG